TCTCATTTTCAATAAAACTATGAACCTTAGTATTATACAAAGTATGCGTATTCAAAAGGCTGTCACTAGAATTATTCCCTAACCAATTATCTTGTCAGAAAAAGATATCACAGTTTACCAAACCCCATTGAATAAATTGCTTAGCTTCCCATTTGATGTTGCACAACCTTTTCCAAACAAACGAGTCAGACCTTTTGTAACTACAAGCTATAGGATGAAGCTCTTTGCAATATTGAACATTTATAAACTGAGCTCACAAACTGATTTTAGATATAAAAGAAAATCATAATTTATGAAAAAAATCCTGAACAATATCCAAACTATTCTTGCATTTTAAACCCCCTTTGTTAAAAACCCCACAAACATTCTTCCAAGAAGCCCAATAGATACATGAACTATTATTCTTCGATCCTCAAAAAAACTTATTAATCATTCTCTGCAATCTAAGGCAAATAGAAGAAATATGTTATAAAGTATGAAAAATAAAGATAAGAATAGAATTTAAAACACTTTTAATAAGCACAAGCCTACCACCAAAAGAGAGGAAGTTGGAAGTCCAATCATAAAATTTTCTTTGAAAAATAGTGAAAATATCTTTAAAAATTTGATGTCTTTTTCTACTTTTAAAAATAGGAGTACCCAAATACTTAATAGGCAAAGAAATGCAATTAAAATCAAAAATCCTCTTGATAGCATTCATTCTACCATGATTAACAGACTTAGCAACAATAAATCTGCTTTTATCCTTGTTATTAGCCAAACCACTCATATTTTGAAAAACAGCTAAGAAATTAACTAAAATTTTAATGTTATTAAAAGAGCAATTGGAAAAGATAATAAAATCATCAGTAAAACTAAGGTGAGTAATAAGAATACCACCAACAGTATGATAAAGAAGGTTCATATACCTTTAATATAATTCCTCCAAATCCCTGGAAAGATAGTCCAAAAAAATAATAAAGAGAGTGGTAGATAAAAGATCACCTTGTCTCAAATCTTGAGAGTATTTAAAACAACTATGATTCGCCCCATTTATGATAACTGAAAAGTAAAAGTTTTCAATACTATTCTTAATAAGCATAATAAAGGATTGACTAAAACTAAATAAAGATAAGACATTGTATAAAAAATTTCAATTCAAGTTATCATAAGTTTTAGTAATATCAAGTTTAAAAATGATATTGCCCCCTTTCACTTTAGCATTGATATCATGAGTGATCTCTTGAGCAAGGAGAACATTATCAAAAATGCTCTTACCTTTCACAAAATCAGTTTGATTATAAGAAATAATATTTGTTCTTTTAAGCATATCATGAGGAAAGAAAATGCATGTGCTGATTGGTTAGCGAAATTTGGGGGTAATTTGAACAATGAGGTGGTGTTTGAGAAGGATAATTTGCCTCAGTTTTTAAAGGGTTTGGTGAATCTGGATAAACTCGGTTTTCCTTATATTAGGATTCATTGAGGTGTATTTACTTTTACTCTTCTTTGTTCTATTTATGGTGCATTTCAGTTCTGGATGGTGGTTTTTCCTGGGTTTCTGCTGTCTCTCGGAGTTCCAGGTTTCGGGTGTGGGTTTGCTTTGGAAAGTTTTTCTACCTCTGCTTCACTTATTTAGTGCTTTTTGGGTTAATTTTATGCTGAGGATGCTGCAGATTGGCTCTTTCCTCTACATGAATTTTATTTATGGCTACGTTAACTGGACTGATATTATTACTTTGGTTACTAAGTTTTTCAGGTTGATCTTGTGGGTTATTTTACAGGATTTGACTACAGGTAAGTCTCTTTGTGTTTTTATTTTGGGTTACTACACTTTTTTTGGGAAATTTTTGCTCCTTTTTTGCAGAATTTTTGCAGCGTTCAAGCTGGTAGTTTTGAAAAGACTGGGTTAAACGATTACATTTTGGTCTTTAATTTTTGGACGCTTTATCAGCGTCGCCTTAGATTGTTTCTAGGCAATTTTGTATTAACTCTAGATGGGGTCTTCGGCTCCTAGGTTTTTTCTTTAATTTCTGATATTGTAGCTCTGTCGAGCTTTAGTGAGCTGAATGTCCCCTTAAGAACTTGTACTTTTCTATTAAATTAACGCGTAGGCCCCTCCGTGGGTTTCCAAGTAAAAAAAAAATTAAAAAAAAAAATAATTCTAGGCAAAATATTAACCAGTCTAGTAAAAATAATTTTAGAAATAAGCTTATTAAAGAAGAAACAAAAACTAATAAGTCTAAAATCATTCCAATTATTGGTAACCTTATTTTTAGAAATTAAGACAATATTAGTAGAAGAAAAAAATTTAGGATAGGGGTTACCAGAAAAAAAATATTAACAGCTTCCAACATATCCAACAATGATATTCTAAGTTTTCACAAAGAATTTAGTGGTGAAACCATCAGGCCCAGCAACGAAATCGTTATTCATATCCTTTATAACATTCGAAATTTCTTCCTCAGACGGAGGTTGAATAAGCAAATGATTGTCACTGTCAGTAATACTTTGAGGAACAACATAAGGAACACACAACTCTCCTTGGCCTATTGGTTGAGAGCTTAGGTTTTCAACTAAGAGGTTCAGAGTTCGAGTCTATGTGTATGCGTTGTGTGTGTGAGTTTGCCTTAAATGGCCTAAATGTCCAAAAAAAAAAAACATAAGGATTAATAATAGGAATAGTGTTAACATTATTATTGAATATGTTTTTAAAGTGTTCCACCCCAGAATTGAAGATTAAATCATCATTATCCAAAACCCTCCTATCATTGTTAACAAATTTGAATATATGATTTATAATCCTTTTTTTATTAGCCATTGTATGAAAATACTTCATATTCCTATTCGCATCCATAATGATTTTAGAGGTAGCTTTCTTCCTTCAATAAATTTTCTCTTGATATTGCGATTGAAAAATATTAACTTTAGCATCATTAAGAGCAGAAAGATTGTCAATATTAAGATTATCCAAATACACCTTATCTAACTCAATCACATCATTTTCAGCCTCCTTAATATTAGTAACACTATTTTTGTAAACATTTTTATTCCACCATCTTAGAACATGTTTCAACCTACTCATCTTGGCCCATAATTTAGACATACCAATAATATTATTATTAGGAAAAATAGGGGCAATTCAGTTATTATGAATCACATTCATGAAATCATGATGAGATAACCACATATTTTAAAATTTAAAAGCAGAAGGAATATTAATCCTATTATCATTAATAGTCAAAAGTTATAAAGCATGAGCAGAGCTAGCTCTACTCAAATGTTCCACATGAGTTATATGAAAATCAGCAATCCAATCATTATTGAATAATATCCTATCAAGTCTTTACCATAAATTGCCTCTACTCCAAGTAAAAGTACCCCCAAAAAGCCAATGTCGTGTAAATTGCAATCATTAATCAAAGAGTTGAAATCCTCTATGGCATTAATGTTTTTTGGAGGATTTCCCTCCAATCTCTCATGAGCATTGGAAATAATATTAAAATCACCACCCACACACCACGGGCCGTTAGAATTCAGAGCAAACTCATTTAATTGATCCCATAGGGCAAACTGGCCCAACCTAGTACACACAGCATAAACAAAAGAAGTATTACATTTAAAGTTAAAGAAGTAGATTTGAACATGAACAACTTGATGGAAATCATCTCAAGAATATTCACACTAACATTACTATTCCACATAATCCAAATTAAAACTAACAACTAAGAAGCGCGCAATAAAATCAAGCTTATCCGAAGAAATAAACGGCTCCATTAAAACTAACAACTGGATGTTATACACTCTATATAAAATTCTAACTCTAACTCTCGATTCATCATTATAACTTTAATTTTTTGAATGTATATTAAAATTAATATTAATTATTATATTCTAAAGTATACATATATATATATTAATCTTTGCACAAATTTTAAAGTTTTAAAATCCTCTAGTTAGTCTGGTTGCATTTTGCATCAATATATCTAAGAGATAATTTTTTAAAAATTTAAAATTAGAACAGCAAAGCAATATCAAGAATGCCAAATATAACTAAAATAAACAGACTCAGAATTGAATCCACTCTAACCTACACCAAATCTCCTATTTATCTTTCGCCAAACTAAGCTCGAATTGCTGCTAATTAAAGAACCATCAAGTACTCAATTGGCTAGCTAAGAAAAAAGAAATTATCTGATAAAATAGCTAGAGATTTTCTTATGATCTAATCCATATTTTTTCTCTGAATTTTTCCATACATTTATGTTTAATTTATAGCGTAACACATTTATAAAATAAAATAGAATAATACAGATAAAAGAAATTCTCTCAAAAGAAAAACCAAGTAACTTTCGCAAATCTCCATGCCATGAAGTTCCAGCACTTCTCCTGTAAAATCATTACTGACTGAATCACTGAGTCATCGATCAGAAACGAAACCAGAAACTACAATGCTGAATTTCAAGGCTAGCTAGACCTTATTATATTTCCTCACCTTGAAATCTTCTCCTCCGGCTGCAAAAACCCGTTGGCGTGCAGCGATTTTGAAACTGCTATAAAAGTTTTTGTGAGAAAGTCTTTCAAAAATACTAAGAAATAATTTTTTCTTACAGTGACAGAGCCTTTGATCCTTCCAACCAAGTATACCCAAACCATAGTCTTCCACTCTTAAAGTATTTCACAATCATGAAAAAAATACCAATACTAACTTTATAATAAAAAAAGCAACAAGAAAACCCTTTATATAATTAAGTAAACTTTACTCTACTGCACATCAAGAAAAGTAGAAAACCCTCTTATTTTATTTTCTCTGAAACTTAATGGAGAAAAAAACTCAAAAGAAACAGCAATTCACTGAATGATAGTAAGATAAAAAGCGCAAACCTCTTCACGTCTTGTAGTTATTACTTAAAAAAGCTCTTACAAAATCCATCAGAAATTTCAACAGTTCAAAATGTTACCAACTGTTATGAAGAACCCTAATTAAGATATCAAAATCAATTCATAAAATATATCGTGTATATTTCAGACATCATTGATTCATTATCATAAAGTTTCAAAATAATTATTTACTTCAATACATTATCATCATAAGAAGCAAAGCTAACACGCGCGCAGTTTCTTCCTCGGACCTCAACAGTCCTCGAAACAAGCAAGAAATCAGCGACTACCAAAGCACAAGTAGTGAGTAACAGACACTTAATGAAAGGCCGATAGTGGAATCATAGCTCCACTAGCGTGCACCTCTCCATCGCAAACCATTTGATCAACACCAGCGCCAGCGCCGCCGCCGCCGCCGCTAACGCCGCCAGGAATCATCAATATACTATCATACTCATGATGCTGCTGACATGAATCGAAGTCAACCGCAGTGGAAGCTGAAGCCGGCGGCGGTGGAACCGGCCTCTTCCTCTTTTTCTTATCATAAGCAACCCCGCGAGCTTTAGCCTGGGAGTCTCGAAGGTCGCGTAGGTAAAGCCGGACGGCTCGAGCTGCGAACGGGTTCGCCTCCGGTCGGCCGCCGTTTTCTTCAAAGGCAGCGCGGAGGCGGCCCACGAGCGCGTCGAGGCTGCCCCAAGCTTGTCGGAGCGGGCAGGAGCAGGGGCCAGGCGGGCAGGGCTGGCCGAAAAAGGGGCAGCCCGGGGCGTGGACTTTCGTCTTCCCGAACTGATCTAAGTATCTCAGGAATTCAAGCACGTGCGCGCCGCTGCAACGCGACAGCTCGAGCGGCGGGCGGTGGTTTCGTAGATATTGGCCGAACGTGTTCCAATCGCGGCGCTTCTGCGACTCGTATCTGCTCGGCCTACCGTCGCCACAGGCGCCGCCTTCCGCCGCCGACATATTAGGGTTTATGTTTGATATATGTGAGTTGTTTTAGGGAAGAAAGGGAGGTGATGTGATCTGTTGTAGAGGAAGCATGGGACTGATGGGAGGAAGCTGGATTTTGGGTTATGAGAGAGAAGTGGAGGAGATGGCAGAGGGAGAAAGATGGGAAGAGAAGGGAAGAGCGAACCTTTCTCCTCTTCTTCTTCTCTCTCTTCATTTCAGTCCCCTTGGTGTAGAATGAGGGCTCTATTTATAGTTTTTCTGGAGTGGCATAGCCCGTAAATAGGCGTGAGATCAAAGGCGAATTGGGAGTGTTTTTAATGGACGGTCGATATCGAATCCTTTGATCATGCACCGTTCGTTGGATATTTGAAGGCTTTAATGATGTCAGAATTCGGCGATCTTGGGCTCGTTGGATTCGTCTCGTCGAGCCGTTCGATTCGAGTATAAGCTCGTTAAAATCGGACACCGTTTGGTAACTCAAATTGTGGTTTGAAGCTTCCAACAGTGCTTCGAGTCCTTGATTCGGACTCATTTGGGCTCGGATTGGGTCGAATTTGGTGTCGTTGGATACTTGGATTCGTATTTCCGAGACGCTCAGTTTGACTGTAAGATCGGTGAAATTGGAGTTCATATGCTCTCGAATTTAATTTTTGAAGTTTCCGAACTGATTTTGCCTCGAGATTTGTGCCCAATTAAGATAATTTCATGATGTCGTATCAACATTAAAAAAATATTTTTTTATCATTAAAATATATGTTATTAAAAAATGCAAAAGAAAGAAATAAATACAATTAAATAAAAAAAATTAGAAAATTTGAGGGACAGATACTACAGGAAAATCATTTTGAAAAATTAGACCGCATAAAAGTCGTCGGTAGTGGATGATTATACCATAGTGAGAACCTATATATTAATTATGAAAAAAAAATATAGCTCAAATTACTTGAATATTTTTGTGGAGGGCTTTTCTCTTCTTGTTCTCTAATTAAAGCAAAAAACATATTTAAGGCTGCATTGAAGTTTTGGAATCTTGATCGGTACTTCTACTTCCATTGGATCCATAAGTATACCACTAATGCATGCAAATAATTGGAGTAAATTAAGAGGCTGATTTGATAGGATTGCCTTAGTCACTTTATCTTGGTTCAACCGATCTATGTGACATTGACCCAACTGATGGTTTTTTTATTTTTTAGACCCAACTGATGGTTAGAAAACATAAAAGCAAGAGATAATAATCAAATGAACAACAAAATTAATGCATTTATTGGAGGGCCACCAGTAATATCCATTGTCAAAACTAAATAATTTTCGATAACTAATCATCTCTTTTAAGTTAATTGTTACTTATGAGTCTTAGAATGTTGAATAGGGTATATAATAGCGAATGTTTGGGGTTGGAAAAAATGTGAAAAATTCAAGATTTGGATTTTGTTGTACCTGTCATGCCCAAATATCAAATTTGAAAAAAAAAAAAACTTATTTTAATCCTTAAGTGAACTACTATAGCTACTAATAATCTATCAACATAATTTAGCTCGGCCGATGCAACTAATAACCATATACATCAAAATGTAAAACTATGCTCATTCCTTAAAATTTATGTATAATAATTAGGAGTTCCATTAATACATCAATCATATTATCTTTTTACTCCTAATTTTAAAAGAATAAAAAAAAAATATGAATCCTGTTTAATCTCACTCTAATGGATCATGTCCCATTCTTAAAAAAAAAATTAAAACCACAAAACGGGCTAACAGCTCGGTAGACTATCAAAACCTACTATTGAAATTAATGCATGAAAATAAAAATAGTATGTATGTAATCATTCAATCAATATTAGCATGACATGCATGTAACTATATATAAAAGCATGTGGTAGTCATCATAAATAATATTAGGTCATATGAGCAATAATAATATGTATAATATTGTCTAATGAGCAGTGATTAATTAATAATGTAATAAAACTCAATAGGTTCTATCATTTCTATGCATATAAGTTACAAAATAGTTTAGTTCATATGTTCTCTTAAGAAATTTTCACACTTTTCTTTTTAATTTTTACACTTAATATTCTCACATGCATGTCGTACAGTGTTATGTTATGTATGCACATTTTGTATCATGTTCAATGCTATTTTACTTAATAATGAAGGATAATTCAAAAATCATGCCTTGCAAAATTTTAAAATGTAAGGAAAACTTTCCATATATATATATATATATATATCACATTCGAGATGATGACACAATCTATATATTCTCTCTTATTAAGGGCATTGCCATTTTTTTTTATTAAAGGGGCATCATTTATAAATAGTAAATAGTAAATGTTGAGTCTCTACTCAGATTAAAAAAGAGAATACTATAAGAACTTCTTATATTAGAATCAATATTCCATTTCTTAGAGCCCTACATATATGCTTGGTATTAACCTCATCATAATCATGTAATGTCTCAAGGTGGATCCAACAATCAAGTTGGTTATTTAGAAGAGTGAAATTTTGGTCCAAACCTTTGAGAAGTAATAGAACATGTGGTTGATAAACTTATACTTTCCAAGTTCATATTTGAAGTGCATTTTACATTGTTTGGTTAGCAAATGCCCTAGTGGTCAAGAATGCCAATGAGACTTGAAAAATGTGTGAAGATTTCACTAATTTTACACCAGCCTACCAAAAGGAAAATTCTCCTTTCTTTTGCATAGATCAATTTGTCAACACAATTTATGAGCATCAAATACTTATATTTATGGATCTTTACTCCTTTTACAAGTAAATAAAGATGAATGCAAACTAACAAAGGAAAAAAAATGAAAAGAAGTTAATATAAAAACTTACTTTTTCTTTGATGATATAGAAAATGTCATGCTAGTGAATACTGAAGAAAATTAAATAAAAAAGCCATGCAAATAGATTTTGGGAATTAAATAAATTGTTATGGGCTTAACATGATGTGACTTTCCACCGATAGTAGTTTGCATTGAGTCGGGTCATGGCAGCATCTCCTCAACTTGTGCTCCCTTTTTTTTTTCAAAAGTAAAAATGGGGAACATGTTCATGATTTTTAGCATGTCTCCTCTTCTTGATTTACCATATATTTTCAATAAGATCATATACCAACTCATTGTAACTTGCCCTCCTTTTAAAGTAAACCAACACTTATCTTGAAATGGGTGTTACTATTGATTTAGAGAAGGAGATTTGGATTGATTCTACTAATTATATTGTGGCTAATAACTGAAAATAGAATTTGAAGATGTTCATTCATACTGTTCTTCTTGCAAATTTTTTTTGCCACAAGCTATAGTGCACACCTAAAATTGTGGACATCCCCTAGCAAAAATTATGAGGAGCAGTAAGCTGATATTATCCATTATTTCATTGTTATCCATTATTTCATTGTAAGGGCCCTACTTTCGACCATCTCTCATCTGGTTTATACATAAAATGTCAAAGCAACTTTACTGATATTTATATGAAACAATTTGAATAAGGACCACTAGGACTTCTCCTCTTGGGATAAATGAATATTTCTTCATTGATATCTAGTTCATTTTCATCATATATTTATTTATTTTTTATTTCTATTTTTTTGTTGTTGAGCTGTTTTTCCATTAACTGATAAAAAATATTTTAATTAAAAAAAAATAAAAACCTCAAACACAATGATGACAATCACCTGCAGGCAAAATTCAACACAACGTAGTTTATTTTGATATATTTGTTAGGAGCTTAAGATATCAACTAGGAGGTTTAGATTTTATTCTTATGTATTACGTATGTGATGTCTGTGTGTGAATTCATCTTAATTAGTGTAAATGGCCCAAACATAAAAGTTATAACTTGTGTGCCGCGTAAGGAGCTCTGGCACGGCTCTGTTGATGCGACATCAGGCTTATTTGTGTTTTTTTTTGTTTTCTACAATATTTTTAACGCCGCTTATCCGATAAATGTTAGAAATGCAGCTCATTTTTACGTGTTGATTGAAAGCTTTGACTATCAACTGATAGGTATTGAATTTAAAGTCTTTCAAATGGGATATGAATATGAATTTGATTGTATTGACCTATACGTCCCAAAAAACAAAAATGTTAGAAGTACAGTAGCAGAGCATATGCGTTGAAACATCATCATTGTGATCCTCACGCAACAATAAATATATAAGAAAATATATATCATTAGCTTATTCTGGCGAAAGCTAGCTGGGCAAATGGGGTCTGCCCAGCGAAAGTGATTTATGCTACCATTATTTGAACTTTCCTGATTGCGGTACTAAATAGTCCATGTGATTTTGGGCGTACTGTACAAGCTTCTGTATTTGTAATTAAATGACAAACTATTATTTATTAAGTTGTCGACGTCAAGAAAAAGGAAGGGGAAAACAAATACAGCTGCTTGTTTTGGCTCTTTCGTTGGATTAATTATTAGGTGTGGATGTCGAATATTATGTTGTCTGGAGACTAATAAGAATACGCCACGTAACCTCTCATTCGATATCGTTCAGTACCACGGGTTGGTACAGTTAATGTGACACATTCTAGTTGATCTCCGGACGACATTCTGTATCCGGCCTCCGCACAGAATAATTTCTTCTTTGATTGAATCTACAATTTAACGCAATGGATGAATATATAAACCTCATCAAATACAGAGCTTGAACAACAGTAACTCAATTAGGAGGATTTCTTCATATATTTTTGGTTGAAGATGAATTTCTTTATATTATAAAATTGATTTTTTAATCTAGACAGATGATTTTGATGTTACAATGAATGCGACTTAGGTCTCGTTTGAGACACTTTTCTTATTGTTTTCTAAAGTGGTTTTCTAGCACAAAAATTTTTTGAACTATAAATTTTTTATATTAGAAAGTTGCTTTAGAAAGCTGTAAAAAAACCGTATCTGATGGAACCTTAAATACGTTTTTTTTATAAGTTAGTTTTTTTAGCAATTTAAGTTTTATTTGGGACATTTTTCATAATGCTTTATACAACTTTTTAGTACAAAAAATTCTTCAAACCAACGAAAAATAATGATCAAAAGCTGTCCCAAATAAAGCCTTAGAATATGTTTGATGCGGTTGTAGCATTTGTAAAAGAGTTATAGGCCTACAAGAAATATTTTTGTATAAAAAAATTGGACATTAATTTTGTTATAGT